CAAGTGCCCCTGCCACTGCTGCCGCTCGTGGCCAAACCGGCAGCGCATCCCTCGGGAGCAGAAGGGCCAAGCTGGAGGGCAATGGCGCTGCCAGCCAGACCTGGGCGTGCCTGTGTCCCCTCAGCGTCCCTCTGTATGCACCCTGACACTGGTGCCGGCTTTCCCAGCTCCGGGCTGTCACCATCCGCCTGCCCGGGTGCCATTGCCATCTGGCAGCCAGACCCCGGCAGAGCTGCCTGTGGTCTGAGCCACTGCCACGGAGGGATTGGAGCCGGACAGTCTTTCAAAAACACGGGCTCAGCAGCGTCTGCCACTGCCGGGGTCTGCTGCCGGAGCTTCGGGTTGTGGTGAGCCGCCACAGGGGTTCTCCGAGCTCTCCTGTGGGTCATAGCTGCACCGGCTCTCCTTTGGAACCCTCTCTCCTCTGCCAGGGCTTTGGGCGAGCGGACCACTCCGTGACTACGGAGAAGCTGAAAGCCAAGTATCCGGACTACGAGATCACCTGGGCGGATGAAGGCTACTGACTCGCTCTGAGCAGTGGCATTGGCGCCAGCCTGGAGCTGGTGCAGCTGAATCCGGTGTTGGGGCGGTGGCAACAGGCTCCCTGTGCTCAGCAGTGCTCTGGGCTCTCCTGGTTTTTCTTTGTGTCGAACTCGCCCGTTCTCCGCCGTCACCGGACTTCCCATGTGCCGTGGGTGCTCCCCACCTCCCTGGCACACCGTGGCAAAGCCTTGGTGAAACTGGTGGGCACCCTGCCCCGGCCTCACGGGTGGCAAAGGCGTTTGTCCCACATGTGTATGTGAGAATTAAACAACGTTGGGGAGCACAGCTGCTTGCGTGGTCATGCGTTCATGGCTCCCCTGGGTCTGGGTGATACCCCCTTACAGCAAGAACAACCCACCCAGGTTTCCAGCCTGGTCCCAGCCCCATTTCACTTGTCAGGCTGCGGTCTGGTGTGCTCCTGGCTCCTGCCTGGCTGCTTTGCCTGCTGCTACCTCCCTGACTTGACCTATTGCTGTTGGGGATGTGGGCTACCTAGACAGGAGATGGTTCCTCTGTGCCCAAAGCTGTGCAGGGTTAGCTCAACCTGCTAAAGCTCAGCTCCTGTGCCTGGTGTCCTGCCCCAAACTCAAAAGGCAGATCATGATGGATGGGGGTGAGCTTCGTGGGCCAGGCTGGGGGTGCAGGGCCCACTGCCTGGCTGGTGGCTCGGGGCTGGAGCTCTGTCTTCAGCAGAGGATGGTGCCCAAAGCCACCTCCAGCCTTGCAAGGTGGTGGGAGGGGGAAGAAAGCTGGGGGCTAAGCCCAGGTACCCTGAACATGCATGATGTTGCAGTGGGCCACTAGAAAAATAGCTCTGCTGTGCTTAGACCTTACCTCCTGCAAGGTGTTGACCATCTCCCCTATGCTGGGGTGAATGTCACCCAACAATCATGCGTGCACTCAACACTGGTGGCTGTTAGGTGACAAACCCTGGGTGGGTAGGGGCTGAGTGCCTTGCATTGGTCGCATGGAGGAGCACAGCTTCCATTTGAGTCACTGAATTGCAGAGCTTGGAGGCACCTTGGAGATGACCAGTCCACCCCCTTGCCCCAGCAGAGTCAGCTCCAGCAGGTTCTCGGGGCTGTATCAGGTGGGTTTTGGGCATCTCCACAGCTGGAGACCCCACAGCAGCCTCGGAAATCTGCTTTGGTTTTGACAACCCTCACAGGAGAAAACTTTTTTTCTTATGATGAAGTGGCATTTAATATTCTCGCTTTGTTCTTGTTATCTCTCGTCCCTTCACGGGGCACTGGCTGCTCGGAAGAGGCTGCCTCCTTCCTTCTGCTCCCTCCTGTCAGGGTCTTGGTACACGTGGGTGACATCCCCCTACGTCTTTCCAGGCTGAGCAGCTCCAGCATTCTCAGCCTCTCCTTGTGGGATGTCCAGTCACTTCATCATTGTCACGGCCCCTCGCTGGATCTGCTCTAGTATAGAATCATAGAATCGTCTGGGTTGGAAGGGACCTTTAAGATCATTGAGTCCAACCATTAACCGAACACTGCCAAACCCACCACTAAACCATGTCCCTCAGCACCATATCGGCCTGTCTGTTAAATCCCTCCAGGGATGGCGACTCCACCACTTCCCTGGGCAGCCTGTTCCAGTGTTTGACAACCCTTTTGGTGAAGAACTTTTTCCTGATATCCATCCTAAACTTCTCCTCATGCAACTTGAGGCTGTTTCCTCTTGTCCTATTGCTTGTTCCTTGGGAGAAGAGACCCACCCGCCCTCACTACATGCTCTTTTCAGGGAGCTGTAGAGAGTGATAAGGTCTCTCCTCAGCCTCCTTTTCTCCGGGCTGAACAACCTGTTCCCTCAGCCGTTCCTCATAAGACTTCCTCTCTAGACCCCCTCACCAAGTTTGTTGCCCACATCTCTCATACTGGCGGCCCAGCATCCCCCAGTGTCTCCCCAGTGCAGAGGGGAGGGATCAGACCTGCTGGAGATGCTCTGCCTACGACACTGGCTTCTGGTCAGCTTGGTGCCTGCCAGGTGCCTGGGCAGCCGGGGAAGGGCAGGGCTCCTGCCTGCGGGCGCTGCCAGCCACCGGGTGCCCAGGCTGGGAGGGCGCAGGGGTGCTGGCCTCCGCCTGTCCCAGCTCGCACTGGGGGAAGGAGCTGAACTCTGTGTTTTACTGCGCCTGATGCAATCCTACTGCAATCTGCCGTCCAAGGCCATCGGCTAGGAGGGGAGAAACCTCCATGCTCAGCCTTCAGCACTGGGGGCCTGACTCCAGGCACAGGGGCTGCCAGCAGCAGAGGCAGGAGAGCTGCCCTGGGGCAGTGCCAGCCCCACGGGCCCAGGCAGCAGCTCCCACTGCCCAGGTGGGGAAACTGAGGCAGAGTTGCCATCACCAGGCAGCTCCAGTGGTGCTGTGGAGGGGCCTCTGGCTGCCGAGCCACACTCCTTCCAGGCTGAATAGCCTTTCCTGGGGCTCCGCTGGGCTTGATTTCCCCCAGGAGTGACCTGGTTGTGGCCCTAGAGCTGTGCCCCTTCACCCCGTGGTGGTCATGAGCGCGGTGCTGAGATTCTCCTGCCAGATGGAGTGGTGCAGGCAGGGGTGAGGGCTGGCCCTGGCGATGGTACCTCCTGGTCCCCAGGGACAGGGGCTGCCTGCTGGGGCTGGGGAAGCTGGTACAGGCTGGGGAGAGGCAGCCAGAGCCGGGGACGGAG